CCTCGATGGTGTTTCTCGTGTACAATGGAGAATGTACATGTATTCGTTTCGTTAATTTTATTTACATGAAATGTGTGAAATGTCGGTAGATATCAAGGAATTATTGGTCTGCAACATCAAACAAACGGACGACCTCGCACCCTTCTGAATGAAGTAGCCGTTTGCGCGCTTGCCCATGAGATACGCAGTAACAGCCATCTTGACATTCGGCAACGCACACAAAAGCGAAGAGCCACGCCGAATGCTGTACATTGGCTATTAAATGGAAAAATTCCGGTGGTACAGTGCACTGGAGGTGCAAATGTTGGACGCATGCGATTCACAGAAGCGCCTGGTATTCGCCCGATAGTTTTTAAACATTTTGAACATGCATTTCATTTTGTTCACCCATGAGGCGTTCCAGATGCAGTGTTCCCTCTGCGTGGGGAAGATACGAAACATGTTTTGGCAATGACCAACTCATGGCAATGTAGCGCTTCACGTGAGCAACGTAGTGCGAAGCTCATGGCCTGGGTTGGGTTGATTGGTCGAAAAACCATTGGGCCCCTTTTCTTTTCCAGGAGTATGTCCAGTAGGTTGTCGTTTAACAGTGCCAATGTCTGACATTTCTTAGCATCCTTGTACATGGAAATGTTGCAGAGCAGCGTCATTCCGAAGCTACAGTCGGAAAAGTTAATTAATACCCTTTGGTGGCAGCAGGGTGGCGCACCTGCACATTCGGCGTAATCAGGTTCGTGTCTACCTGAACGAGACATTCGATGGAGGTTAGATCGGTCGCGGAAGAGCGATACAATGGCATGCGCGTTTACCTGACCTGAATCCCACGGATTTTTCCTATGGGGATACTAGAAGCGTACAGTTTATAGAACGAAACCGAAAAAACTTGATGAACTGAAACCGAACATTGTGAACGGATTTACGCAGATTTTATTGGAGACATTGCAGATAGTGCTCGCCAACACTTTTTGACGAATGCTCCTCTGTAGCCGAAACGACGGTGGGCACCTCGAACATCCAATTAACTGATATTTACCGACATTTCACACATTTCATGTAAATAAAATTAAAGAAACGAATACATGTACATTCTCCATTGCACACGAGAAACACCATCGAGGGCCTGATCAATTTGTACAACTAGCAAGTGTCTGACTGTGAGGGCAATAGTTGCATTCCTGTCTAAATTGGTGTCCTGTCTAATGGTGCTAACAGTGCGTCGATGCAGACTGAGATCTAAGAGTATTGTCACGGCAAGTCAAGTCCGGAAATCGTTTTTATGCACCAATAGAGGGTGAATTTCCAGCTGTAGCACACACGCGATCGAAAAGGTAAAGCGAACAACACTGTACCTTTAAAAGATGCTCCTGGTATTATGATTCCCTTTATCAATGAAAGCAGTCTAATTAAAGCTGACGGGTTTATTGGAAGCCAGTCAAGAGGCGACAACAGCTTTTGTGGCGATAGCAATACGGCGCCCATCAACCGGTCAACACATACGGCCGGGTAATTTTCTCACTTGCTAGCACAGCGACACACTTCGTAGGAAACCATTTTGCTGGCTTTTCACCTGCCTGAAGACCGACTACCGATCGATCGAAGCATGATACGTTCAGTGTAGCTAGGTTGTGTCCGGTTCACGTCCAGTTCTCACAGCTGAACGGCGTGCGTTTCCCAGCTCTTGCAATGCGATCGAGACATGACGCATTCATTGCGGCCGTGGTGTCTGGTGTCCCTTATCACAGCCGAACGGCTTGGTGTGCTCTGCGATCGCAGGCACACATGTGGCATGTGTCCCATCTCATTCTTGCCGACAACGCAATTTGCGCCAATGTTCACTTGGCTATTCAGCGTACCGGTTGTACGTAAGCAACAGCGTGCAGCCGCTCCCAGCTCCGAACCAGATTAGCAAGCACCTGGTATATGTTGTATGCCTATTTAAGCGTCGTCTTTTTGAAAGTGGTCTTCATCCCATCCCAGGCCTTATGATATGTATACTGTTGGTCAACCATGTGAAGCGCTTGCTAGCCTGGTTGCTCGATTTTAACCTTTATTTTGACGACATCGGTTGAGCACGTCTACCTTATCGAGAAGTTTTAATCCAGTTTGCATTTATCGAGGACCGCACTGCGTGCCACGTTAAACAAGCTCCTATCCAAAGGACAACCTTGGAACTGGACAGCAGAATGTCAGAATGCCTTCGAACGCGTCAAGTCACTGTTGTCTTCAAACTTGCTTTTGACACATTTCGATCCCTCCAAAGAGATCGTCCTAACCACAGATGCATCAAGTCATGGGATTGGTGCAGTAATTGCACACACATACACGGATGGATCTCAAAAAGCAATCGCCCATGCCGCCAAAACCCTTACCAAGGCCGAGAATAACTACAGTCAGATTGAGAAAGAAGCATTGGCCATAGTGTACGAGGTTAAGAAATTCCACAAAATGCTATACGGCCGCCGCTTCAAGCTCCTGACAGATCACAAACCCTTGCTCGCTATCTTTGGTTCGAAAAAGGGCATCCCGGCCTACACCGCCAACAGGCTACAACGTTGGGCCCTAACCTTAATGGGGTATGATTTCGAGATCCAATATCAGTTGACAATTTCCATTGGCCAAGCAGATGCACTGTCACGCCTAATTGATACCCGTCAGCAAGAACATGAAGACACAATCATTGCCTCGGTGGAGATTGAACCAGACGTCAACTTTCTGGTAACTGATGCACTGCACTGTCTACCAGTTACCGCAGAAGCTGTGCGGACCGAAACACTTCGGGACCCAATACTCAAGAATGTTACTCAGTTTCACAAAACAAGATGGCCACGTTCCTGTCCATCCGCCGAGTTGCAACAGTATTTTCTGAGGAGACACTCACTCGCTATTGTAAACGATTTCATACTATTTTCGGAAAGAGTGGTCATCCCCAAGACACTTCAGGAGCGCATTCTTCGACAGTTCCACGCCGGGCATCCTGGAATCAACCGGATGAAGGCGCTTGCCCGCAGTTATGTATCCTGGCCCTTAATGGACAAACAGTTAGAAGAAATAGCCAGACGCTGCCAAAAGTGTGCCGATGTCTTGAAAGCGCCACCGAAAGCAGAACCCTGTTCATGGCCAATGGTTACTAAGCCGTGGTGCCGCATTCATGTCGACTTTGCAGGGCCGATCAACGGCTGAAGTTTCCTCATTATAGTCGACTCATACAGCAAGTCGCCAGAAGTATTTCTCATGGATAACACAACCACCAATGCCACCATATCGAAACTGCGCCAAGCCTTTAACAGATTCGGCTGCCCTGAGACAATGGTTACTGACAATGGCTCACAGTTTACTTCAGCAGCGTTTAAGGAGTTTTGCAAGCAATGCGCCGTCCAGCACGTTCGCTCGCCGCCGTTTCACCCACAGTCGAATGGCCAGGCAGAAAGATTTGTCGACACATTCAAGCGAGCCCTCCAAAAATCAAAAGGGGAGGGAAGTATAGAGGAGGTGGTTGACCGGTTCCTTTTCCTCTACCGATCAACACCGAATCCACAAGCGCCAGACGGAGTCTCTCCAGCACAGGCCATGATCAACCGGAAGCTCCGCATGCCTTTCGACGCCATCCGACCGGGCTCGGAGTCCTCTGTTGGTGGAAGAAACCGCAGAATGGAACAGGAGTTTAACCGGCGGCATGGAGCAAAGAAGCGATCATTCACGCTTGGACAGAAGGTGCTAGTATGTGACTACCGGGAAGGCCATGCGAAATGGACGCCAGGGACGGTCAAAAGCAAGCACGGAAACGTCATGTATGACGTGAAGGTGGGCGCACAGGTCTGGCCGCGGCATGCAAACCAGTTACGGCCCACATTGTGCCAGCCAGAACAAGAAAGGCCTACTGATCTCCCGTTCGATTTACTGGTGGAAACTTTCAACCTGCCGAAAGTAACAGTGGACGACTGCCCAAGGTCGAGCAACGAATCCAGAACAAGAACATCGGAACAGAGTTCTCGGGCGCTTCTGCCAAGGAGGTGGACCGACAGGCAGAGAACACCGTCCCGAAGACTGCAAGTTAATCCCAGGCTTTCCTCTTACACCTCGGAACATATCTCAGGAGGGGAGGTGTCCGGGAGAAAGTAAGAATTGCCTTGGAAATTCCCTATTTTAGCGATTAATCGATTATTAACGATTATCGCATCGATTTCGAACGTTCCTGAATGTTCTTCTTCTACACGTGATCAAAATCCACCTGACCTCTCGGGAAAAGATATGGGGAACCACTAACCTTGGCAGCTGACCTTCCAATTCTAGAAGTCGAAGGTCAGCAGAGACCTATAAATACAGCCAGGGTCCTCAGTCGTTGTACAGTGTTCGTTGGCTGCGATTAATACGTTATTTGTCAGGGTCATTGGCGTTCTGCTTTTTTCCTTCGGTTGGGCTAGAAGTTTTGCGGAGCAGTGAATTGTTATTTTTGGAGTTGCTTCTAGTGAGAAGATTATAACAGGTTGAGCACGTCTAACTTATCGAGAAGTTTTAATCCAGTTTGCATTCATCGAGGACCGCAATATGGAATAAAAAGGAAATGATAAGGAGAAATGGCGAGAAGCTTGACCAAATCAGGAATATTAGTATCCTTGTTGGAAATGCTGCACTTGCTTCCTGTTGACCCAGATCTTTTGAGATTGGATTTCAGTTATATCTTCCAGTGTCAACGCTGGCTGCCAAGTTTCTCTATGGGTATGACTTTAGCACTATTGAGTCACCTGCGTTTATTAGTTTTAGTGGGATTTGGCAAATTTGCAAATGTACCAGACAGAGCTTTTTCCACCTCGGTCGGACGCTTCCGGGTTCCGACTGCATGACTTCCGGATGGCAGCAGGCAGTGCCAGTAGGTTGGAACAGCGCTGACTGGTGCCGTTCTAGACTCGTCAAAACATTTTGAATTTAGAGTGGTCTGTGATGAGTTACCTCTAATTAAACAAAAATCCCCTCTACTCAGTTGCAAACCCTTTAGTTTTAGTATGTGTAAGCGGCGGAAGCATTTCAGCATGCTGCTTCTGTTATTATTGTTCTGTGAGGAATCTGCAATTACCCACCCTAGCCCGGATAAACGAAACTCCAGTTCCCATTTAAGCATCATGGAGTATTTGGTATGTTGTCAGGAGGTTTGTTGATTTTTGTGCTAAATGTGGTTAATCATGTCGCTCGTATAACTACACACAAGCAAATAACCAACAACAGCTTAAAACCATACATAATGCTTCAGAAGCTGATTTTGTGTTGCAAGCGAGACATCGTTTTCCAGGAGGAGACATTCTACTATAATGCCCTAAACCTTACTGGCGTGTGACCGTGACCTGCCATGTCGAGGAGACGTAGTAACGTGAGGATGAATTATACAAAATCAATATTTTGTGTGTGGACCTGTGCCTATCTTGACTGGATACGTCTCCTTGCGGTAAAACGCTTATTTGGCTTGCTAAAAGATAGTTATAGTTGCATCCTTAACATTTCTGCATCTCTTTTCTATACCACCTATCAACTCGCATAGTATCCCTCTTGATTCTCCAAACGTCACCGAGTTTATGCATCGACGCTATTGCTGAAAACCATGGGCTGCATTATCTCTGTATGTCATAGGATACACTGCCAAGCAGGAAGAAATGGCGAAAAAGCAAACATACCCATAAACGCAGTGAGAAAAACTGTTTCTTTCAGTCGTAGCATTTGACTTATTTCCCGATGTAGCTTGGGAATCGGTATCTTTGGCCAACAGTACTCTTCAAATTCACTCAGATTTGACAGAAGCAGTAGTGAATCTTTGGTTCTCTCCAGACTACACCATAAACCGATATGATGTACCTATATAAATGCCATGTCAAGTAAGTGCAAATTTTCAACCCGAGGGTATGTTCTATCGCAATGTATTTGGCAACTTTATGGTCCACTTGACATACGACACCTGCGGACGTGATCAACCTTTCTCTTTCACCAGTTAGTTGTCATTGCGCAACCGAAGCCAAAAATAGATGCTGTCAGTGTCTCAAGCTAAGGTATATAAACTGAGTGCACGAACTCACTTCACTCATCATTACATCCTGCCTGCCCAAGTAACCACAGTCGTTCGAATACAATGGAACAATAGATCTAAACCGCCAAGGCTTTACAAATCCTGTGGAGTGGTTTGTGTGGAATAAAAGTTTAAAAATATGACAGAAATGTGAAACACACATCATCACTATCTCCGCATCAGCACACATGTAAATTCGTTTACCCCAATTTCGTGGGGGTTGGTGAGCACAATATTTGTCTGCGTCTTGTCATCACTCGATGAACAGAATGAAAATCAAATAATGCAGGTAATGTAATACGTCTACAAGTCGTAGTTTTAATGAGTAGCACGCCCGCAGAAATGGCAAGTCGAAAGACTGTTCCACGTCTAACAAATCCGAAGTGAAAAATATTTCCAGTAGCATCCCAGGTGATTGGATAGGGTGATCGATTTCCGCTGACGACGCCTCAATTGTGTGTTGCGGGTAAATTTAAAGAGGTGGCGGCAAGCGTGACTGGGGTTTATCAAGATCTGGTACGCCAAAATGAAGTCACACCCTAGACGATGATAACTTGCGTCATACACCCTAGGGCTTTCAGTCTTATTTGGTATGGCTGGTTGAACAAGCCCTTCACCTTTTTGGTTGCCAGGGTTGGCACGCTTGAATCGCGCAATCAACTTGAGACCTCGTATACACACTGAGCCTATGAGGGAAAATGAAAGGATCGAACCGCCTAAATGTCCACTGTAAATGGCTAAAGTGTTGGTTTGCGTTTGACTTTTTAGAAGCACAGTGCAAGTGTAGTTGGATCAGAACCTGCCCTACCTGACTATTGATCGCCCACCTTATCTTGGTGTCATAGGCATAAAGCAGGAATTTGAACTAGGTACCACATACAAAATCGCGGATGAAAAATAAAAATAGGCGCAACCCTAACACCGACCGTGGTGGTTCACCACATTCCAGTTTACTAGGATCGGCAAATCAGCCCCGAACTCGTTCCCTTGTCGTCGAAAACTGCGCCAATTACCTGCCGTTTCTCGATGACATGCCGGTAGCCAACTGTGCCATTAGTGTAACAACACGCAATTGCATGAGCGTAGAAGCGCAACTAATAGCGGTTTACTTCTCATCAACCCTATAAAATTCACTGCGTAACGGCAACACAATTATATGCCTGCAGTGAACACTTTTTGATTTTCTGGTCTGCCACCATTTACGATCGACCTGTGACCATCGAAAACATAATCAAACAATGCTTACGATTGAATATCTAAAAACACAGATAAAGCCTCCACATACAGTACTAATGCTAGCCTGCGAAAGTAACGATGGCTCGTAGCCAAACGACGCAAGCACAACAGAACGCAACCACCTGGTAGCACGCAAACGTGTATTCTGGCGAGCACGTGTACAAAGCATCTATCAAGTAACTAAGTCACTGGTGAGTGGATAATCGACAGACAGTCACACGCACACGGCCAATATCGGGTATGCATACGGATTGGCGTTGGTAGCCCATACGCCACCTTTCACTGCCCTTTAGCTCGCACTCCCCCAGACAGCCCAGCAACGATCAACTGGAAGGCGGACTCTAGTCTAGCGGCGTATTAGTTGGGCTTCTGGAGGGCAGCCGGTCTGTGTGGCCTCCGCGAAAACAGGCTCGGTTTACGGGATTTGCAATATGTCGTCTGTCCCGCTTGACACGTAAAGACCGCAGACGTGATCCACATTGTAGGAAGAAAGAAGCGGCAATGAAGCACAATCTCTATTGGCGCGATCACAAGCTATATCACCACTCATGCAGGCGTACATTCATGACTCACATTCCTCCCCTCCCCCCCGCGCCGCAGCATCTCTCCTGGCTTCCGCTCGCGACACGTCCATGCAAATTGGGTAAATCATGGTGGAATATACCCTGCCCATTTCACCCCCGTATCTCTGCTTGTTGTCAAGTTTGAAGTTTCCTCCTGACTGTTAGGATACTTTGTAGTGGCTTTTCCAGCGTTCGCTGGACTTCCGTGCTCCTGGCTTTCGATGTTCTCGAAAACCGTGATTTCGTATCTTTACTTGTTCTTCTACGCTGAATGGCCTCCACTTGTGGGACGCATACCTGTCATCGTAGTTGCACTTATTCCGTGCTTGTCGAGATCTGGTTTCTCTTCTGGCGGTTGCTTCTACCGTTCGCGATGTGTTGCTAGAACGTCTCGCCCCTGCGCGAGAACTATGCGTGGAGCAAACAGAATTCTTGGTTGTCTGCAAAAAGTGTAATTCGAATGGCACAACTAGTTGTCGGCTGCTTGTAGGCTCTATACGTCAGAAGAACGATGGGCAATGGACTGTTCCGTTAAGCCGTTCAGTCAGCCCGTCGGTTTCTGCATGGTACGGTGAAGTGCACTGTCTCTGGATGTTCCACTTTTCCATTACTCTCCGAAACGCCTTCGACTCAAAACAGGAACCTTGTTCGGTAATAAAACACTGTGGTATTCCATACCTTGCGGGCACATTGAATTTGAATGCCTGTGTCACAATCTCACTTGTTTGGTCCAAGAACGGCACGGCTTCTACCCATCGGGTGAAATGGTAAATCAACACTAGGATGTACCAGTTTCCTGACCGACTGACCGGCAAGTGTTCAAAGACTTCTAATCCCCAAACCTGGAACGGTTGGCTGAGTTTGATAGATCGCATCGGTGGTGTTGCTGCATTCACATGGTGGGTTTGTTTGCGAAGTTTGGCATCCACGTATGTATGCCGCGACATTCTTTCTCATGGTCGATTGAAACACCCCTCTTCCGCTGCAGGTCGAAGACTCTCTCGAATCCCATATTGGCGCCACCTTAGGTTCCCCGCATCACACGCTCCCGTAGACTCCGGGGAATAAAAGACAGTTTTGTCCATGTTTTTGTCACCAGCAGGACGCCGCTTTTAATATCAATCTTATCCAAGATAATGTGGGGTTCCTCTACCTCTCCTGATGTTGCCTCTGGCTTGGTCCCGACCTGTAAATGACCGCACAGCAACCTCACTAATTCATCCACACGTTGGCTTTCTAGTAGGTCTCGATTCTCAGCGGTGATGCCACACACGTGTATGGCAGCATCTGGCAGCAGCTCGTCTAGAGATGGTCGCGATAACTTGTCGGTTATTCCCTTCTTCGTTCCACTTATATACTCGATTGTATAAGTGAATTCTTGGGGCCCACCGTGTAAGTCGTCCCCGCAAATCGCCCGTCTTCAGTAATCATGATAGCGGCTTTTTGTCAGTAAGGACATGAAATGCAATCGTTAGAAGGTGTGTTCTCCATTTCTCCAAGGTTCATCCGAGAACAAAGCCTTCTTTCTTCGTCGTGCTCGTCAGCACTTTGCTGGCGTATGTAATCACATCGGACGGTTGAGAGGCACAGCCTCGTTTACTTGCATCGACCGCCACGGTTAATTTTTCTCCAGGCCTAGATAGTCGTAAAAATGCTGGCGCCTGTGCGACGCATTTCTTTAGGTAGTTAAAGGCCCGATCCGCTTCAGATGTCTAAGCGAACGACTCGATTTGTGCAACAGCTGTGATAATGCACAGAGCTTCTTCGCACAATGGGGCACGAATTTCGAATCATACGCCACCATTCTGAGGAACAACCGGACTTGGGGTTTTAATTTCAGGGCTGCAAAATTCATGATAGCTTCGCGTTTCTCTGGAAATGGCTGAACTTGGCCATTCCCCACAATGTGGCCCAAACACATAATGGACGTTTGAGCAATCTATGACATTTTGTGACTAAGCTGCAGATCGGCTTCCTCCAGCCGTTGTAGCGCGGATGCGACTCAGGCACCATGTTCATGTTCCGTCTCCTCCCATCTCATCCCCATAGACAACCCCATTTTGGAGCTTCGCCAGGACCATCCGCAGTAGGCGTCTGAATGTAGCCGGCCTTCTCAGGAATTCATACTGCTGCCGGTACACACTGAAATCTGTTTCCGGCCGGTCTTCTTCTGTGCTCGGAAGTTGCTAGTATCCCTAACGGAGAGCTGTCAAGAAAATCAGCCTGGCATTGTGAAGATTGGGAAATTTTTCTTCCATTGGTGGCATAGGAAATGTAGCGTTCAAAGTTACGCTGTTTATCTCCCTGAAATCAATGCAGCATCTGTAGGTTTTTCCACCTCTTTCAGCAGCAATGCTGGTGATGAATACGGACGGTTTGTTCTCCTTATGATCCCTCTGGCCTCCATCTCAGCCACCTGTTCCCGTATCTCCATCAGCGTGTTCTGTGGTATCCACCTAAAAATCGGCTTGCACTGCCTACCTGGGATTACAGATATCCGGTGTTCTGCTCAGTTTCAGAATCCGTAATCACCATTCGTATCCGTGAACAAATACGCGTACGTGAGCAGTACATCCCATATTGTGTGGTTTAGGCACTCGGAAATAACCGCCACGGCATCCATCTGGTCTTATTTCCCTGTGCTCATCTCGATCGTTTCGCTGTCCACTATCACGACATTCTTCCGCAAATCAATCGTTGTTTTTAGTTTGCTGACCCGAGTCAGCCGCTTATTTCTTTCGCGTTTCGCTTGTGGTTGTCTGTACAGATGATTAGGATTGTTTTACGGTGGTTTTCCTTGCGTTCCTCGACGACAACATTGGAATGGGATATTATAATTATTTATAGTAAAAAAAAGACCCGTTTTCCTAGATTTTCATGCGTATTCGCTTGTGCCTGGGCCCCTCGTCTCCAGTTCTTCGGGGGCCTCGTCCCTTTCGCTTTCG